AAAACCTGACAATAAATCAGCTTTGAACATTTAGGAGTATAATTTAGACTCAGTCTTGAAAACGGGAAAAAAATAAATAAACCAAACATAAACAAATGCTACGCACATGGAACTACAATAAAATTACCCGTATAGGCAAAACATTTTTTGAACGATCGATAATATGATTTATTTTGCACTTTAAGGAAAAGATGTGGAACTATACGGAGAAACAGTGTCGATGTGTTTACCAGGTTCATCATGTGAAGGCAGATGCGGCTCTCTATTGGGTATTACAACTACGTGTAGTTGCGATGCTGAATGTTCAGTGTTTGGGGACTGCTGCTACGACGTCTCTGAAACATGTCAGCTAGTGACACAAAACAGAACAATAATCCAACATGAGACAACATTAGTAAAAGAGACTATGTGTTTCAAAACTGATCCAGAAAACTCCAAGATAGGATATCACGTCATCTCGACGTGTTCAAACAAATCAAGTGACACAACACTTAGGATAACATGCGAACAACCGGACGCACGTAATATTATACAGCAGATCCTAGTAACCGATTATCGCGGAAATGTATATAGAAACATTTATTGCGCAGCATGTGACGGCATCAAGACGACAGACGTAGTTGCTTGGCATGTAGCCGCTTCGTGCAATTCAAGGGACGTTGAACGTCATTTGACGAATGTCTCAACAACAATTAATCCGGAAACGATGTTGCACAAAAAACTGGGACAAAATGTAACTTGTTTTTCATACAAATACACACCACCAACAAACAACACAAAACCTCCCCGGCCTTGCCATTATATGCAACGAATAGAAACGTGTGCTCAGCTTGGTGACAAAGAACAAGTTAAAATAGGATGTGCCGCTTACTCGGCCACAGTGTATGTTGATGACACTGCATATAAGAATCCTCATTGTGTCATTTGTAACGATTTTAATTCATATAGTTGCCATCCTACTACGGTTAAACCATTGGAATTAAAAAAGCTTTACACAACGTTAAATGTGCTAGTCAATTTTGCTGAAGGAAAAATCAGCTTAACAACGAAACACATTGAGTACACGGAAATTATGGATTGTGGAATATTTAAAGTCAATAATTACATCATGGAAGAATGCATAGACCTGCAATGTGGCATTGGCTATGCTTTATCTGGATCATCATGCATTGTCAGTCAAGATCCCATGCAAGAAACTCCGCACCAATGTAATATGAAACCTCCTATTATCGCTAATCGAATGTTCTGCTTGTGTCAAAGTAACAAGCAACTTGTAAGTGTAATATATCTGACGAACGATAAGATTTCCACATCACACAATTTAAAAGATTACGTGATAAATAATACAGTAAAAACTAATGTTAGTCTTTCTAACCTAAAAGCTGAACATTTTCCAAGCGATGATGGTATAT